GGTCATTTAAAACTGGGAATACTTTGGTCCAGGCTCTTCTGGCTTTCATAATTTGCACTGAAAAGTCAGCTGTAATCCTAATGGGTTTTCCTTTATATGTGACTTGTTGTTTCCCTTTTGCAGCTTTCAGAATTGTCTGTTTTGTACGTGTAGTGTTTTTATTATGATGTGCCTTGGAGAGTTTCTTTTCTGGTCCTGTTTGGTGTTCTATATGCTTCTTGTATTTGTATGGGCATATCTCCATTTAATTTTGGGAAAATTTCTTTCATGATTCTGTTGAAGATCTGGTACATGCTACTATCTTGGGATTATTCACCTTCCTGCATGCCTATGATTCGTAAGTTTGGTCTTTTATTGGTGTCACACAATTCCTGCATATTCCATTCTTGTGATTTCTTAAATTTTTCATAATCTTTGCTTGAGTGGTCTAGTTTGTCCACTTTATCTTCCAGTCTTGATACTCTGTTTTCCATTTCGTTCATCCTATTGGTGTGGCTTTCTCCTGTCGTTTCTAATTGGCTTACTGAGTGTTTCACTTCCTTCTTCGTTTCAGCCTGAGTATTCTTCAATATTTCTCTTTTCTCATTTCATTCAGGAGTTTATCCCTATCTTCCTTCAGTTCTTTGATTTCTTTTTTTTTGTGTGTTCTGTAAATTCACTGAATTCTTTTATCATGTTTATAATTTTTCTTTTGAGTTCCATGTCCTGCATTATCTCTAGGGGGTTCTCATTGTACTCCTCTAGGGGACTATTAATATTTGGTGAGGATATGTTATTTTTGTTTTTCATGGTATTATTTTTTCCCTGTGATTTTGACATGTGAATTTCTTTTGTAGTTTCTGATTCTTGTGTGAGACTCAGGCCTCAAGTTTAGGTCTACTTCTCTTTGTGAAATTTATGTGTCTTTGTGGTTTAATTTTGGGCATGAAAGGCTGGTTTCTCTAAGCTTCTGGTTCTCTCTTTTGATGTTATATTGGAGTGGCCATATTGCTTTTGTCTTCAGGAGTTCCCACAGAGGCCCGGGTGGGGCCCAATTCAGATGAGGGTCAGATATTTTCAGGCTTTCTCCTAAGGTCTGAATCCCTCCAGGAACAATTTTGGCCTCAGGAATTTGGGGGTTGAACTGGCCTGAGAGCCTAGCCCAGGAAAGATGCTGGCCTAGGGCAGCTGGTGGCCATGCCACCCAATGATGGAAAGGCAGATGGGGCAAGAAGAGGCCCCAAGGACTCCTGGGGACTGCACTGATTAGCTGTGTTGGTTCCAGAGAGAGGCCTGCAGGTAGGAGAGAGGCCTGTGGTGGGTGGTGCAGGCCCAGGGAAACAGAGGGAGGTGAGTGGTAAGTATGTATTTTTAAAAGCACAGGAAAGACCTGGGCATGATGGTGTACATCTCTAATCCTAGTACTTGGTGTCTGAGGCAGGAGAATTGAAAGTTTGAGATCAGCTTAGGCAATATAGGGAGACATATCTCAAAAAAAAAGTTTAGACATGGTGGCACCGGCTATTAATTCCAGCACTTGAGAGGCAGAGCCAAGTGGATTTCTGAGTTTGAAGCCAGCCTGGTCTACATGGTGAATTCCAGGTCAGCCAGGGCTACATAGTGAGACCCTGTCTCAAAACAGTAATAAAATGGGCTGGAACTTCTTTGCCAAGTCCTCTTATAGAGCTGGTCTGGGAAGCAGCTGTGCATGAACACTAAGCTCATTGGTGGGACATGGGAAGGGAGCCCATTTTTCTTTCCTGACTACATGTCCTCCATGAGGGGTAAATGGCCCAGCTCTGCAGGCAAAAGGACATAAGCCACACACTGGGTACAAGCCAGGGCAGAGACAGGAGGCAGGGGTGTGAGGGGCTGCAGAGGACTCCTGCCTCCTCAGGGCCTGGCACTTGGCTGGCCACATATCAGGTGCTCACTGAATGTGTGGGGATAATAAGACTTGGCACACTCCCGATGCCATGATCGGGCCACGAAGTCCATCAAAACTAGGGAGGAGAGAACAGGAAGCCCACAGAAGAGGGAGGCCAGGACCAAGACAGACAGGAGCCAGGCCAGGAGTTTGCAGCAGCTAGAGGTCAAGGCAGAGAGCAAACCTGTCAGAATTGGACATCCTTGGATGACTCTTCCCTCTCCAGATATGCAGTCCCCGACATACTGTTTAACCATTTCAAAATGCAGTCAATTTAGGAAATGAACAATGTTGTGCTACCACTCCCACTAATTCCAGAACATGCCCAACAGATATCCATATATGTTAGCACTCAATCTCAACTTTCCCCTTTCCTTAGCCTCTGGCCAACACTGGTCATTATTTCTAAATCAATTCTGCCTGCTGTGGACACTTCCTACCAAGAGAATTGTGTAGTATTATACATGCTCTTTTCTGCCTAGCTCCTTTCACATAGCACTATGTTTCCAAAGCTCATACATGTTATCATATGTTAGTGCTTTGTTCCATTGTATGTTTGGATATCAAGCATTTACTTTATCATCCCTCACTTACTAGACATTTGACAATTATGCTCAATGCTACAAACATTGATATAGAAATTAGATACAACTCTTTTGGGCATATACCTGGATGATTCTATGAGTAGCTTTTGATGTGACTGACAAACTGATTTCCGTATTACATTCCTGACAGTTAGTGTTTGAGGGCTCCATCCCAGTATCCCTTCGGAGAGTCTGTAGTCATGCTAAGGAAGCCTAGGCTGGACTTAACCCTAAGACCATCTGCTCTCCAAGAAGGAAGAAACCCCCAGATGCCTGCCAAGATCCCCGGAGACAGCTGTCCACCTCTACCCAGAGCACTCACCAATGGTGTCCACCCATGTGATCACTTCGTCCTTGCACAGGTGGTGGCAAGTCTGGTTGTCAGGTTTCCCAGCATGAAGCAGCAAGCACTCGACACACTCTCTTTGGAGAAGAGAACATGAATGTGGCTGTTAGCTGATATGCAGTGTCCCAGCAGTGCAGGTCCCCAAAGGCTTAGCTATTCTCTACAAGTCTGGCCTTGGGGATGTTCTTCCTTCTTGCTGCTATTAACAGGAAGTCCCAGGATCTCAGAGAGACAAGTATAGAGGTGTGTCTGGTATATAGGTCAATCTGTTAGTTGTAGACCTTTCTAATTCTGACACCAGGAACTAAACCCAACCTCTGCACCCTGCTATGTATGGTAAACCTCTGGCCAAGGAGTCAGCTCCATGGAAGAGGTTTCTGGGCATAAAAACTACCCCTGGTCCTTGGAGGAGCCTCCACATTCCTGGGTCCAGTGTTTGAGGCCCTTGTGTTGTCCCAATCCCAAGATCCCCATCTGTCACCCTCCGGTCAGGGCTCTATGCTTTCCAGTTACACAGACTCTCCAGAGTGTCCAACCATGCCTCTGGGGTGGGGCTTCCTGGCAATTCTGGCACCTGCAAAGGCTGAGAACCACTGTCACAAGTACCTTGGGTTCCAGCCCCATCCTCCTGACCTTTCCCTATAAGGCCCACCTGCCAGTTTCCCTAAGGGTATTCAGCCACTTACCTGGTACTCAGCCTATACTACAGCTGGTACATTTTATATAACAGAGACCTTTTCTAGAAAATACATGAGAAGTCAAAAACAGACCCTCTAAGTCCCTCTTCTCCCACCTCAGGTTGATAGCATGTGAAAATACTTAATTAAAACACCCCATTAAGTGGTTATTACTATACTTTATATCATCAAATCTAGGTCCAGACATGCTCCCTCCTCATGAAGTTACATCAGGAGATCAAGATGTGGGGACGCAGATGGAAAATGGGGCTGTAACTAAGGGCTATAAAGCTAGTGGGAGGGGAAGGGTCCCTCCTCTTTGGGAGGGCCTAGGTAACACCAGGTATAGACAACATGGGAAAAACAAACTCCAGGCCAGGGTGGGTCAGGCCCAGCAGCCCAGGGGACAGCAAGTCGGACTCTGGAGTGGTAGCACTTGGAAGTCTCTAGGGTAAAAGGGGTATGATTCTAGATTCAGGTGCATGGGGGAGGCTACTGTGTCCCTGTGGCTTTGACTATGCCCTGACCCTAAAGTGAAGAGATAACCCTACAAAGCTCCAGTCACACAGCAGATAGTACCTTGCTCACCCAACAGGCCTATGGGTACCAAAACAGCTGAGTTTCTGGAAAGCTCTCTGGCAAGCTGGAAAGAAGCCACACATCACTGTCTGATTCTAACTCCTGAGGCTCAAGAAGCCAGTTACCACGTCTCCAGTATAGGAGCTGGGAAATGAGAAAGGGAGTGAACCCGGTCACACAGTAGGACCTCCCACTGTACAGAGGAAAATGAGGCCCAAGAGAAGCCGATGATGATCAGGTATCCGGCCTGACAGACAGGCTCCTCCCCGCCCTCTAGACTTTAACAAGGACCAGGCAAGGGGTAGACTGTAGACAGAAAGGGCCATGACTTCCTTAAGAGGGCAGTGACATGCTTAGGAAATCAACTATTCCAGAGTTGGCTAACCATGTCCCTCTCCTGGGGGCTGACCTCATGGAAATCACAAGTTGGAGTCGAGCAGGCTTGGATCCCTGTGTCCTATCTGGTTTGCTCCCTCCCCCAGCTCCCACCTCTCAAAGCAGGCAGCAAGGTAGCCAGGGAGGGGTGGCTGTGGCTCTGGTCATTCATCCTGACCTGGCTGGCCCTTCTACCAGCCTCCTGGACGAACAGGAGGCAAAAACGAATAACTGCTTTCTGCTGGGCTGGGATTTACAGCCCACCTCAGATGCTCTGCTGCATCACTGAAACTTCAGGCCACCGTCAGGACATACCCCAGTTACTAATGTGGATACAGCAGCTTGGAACTGTGCTCCCCAGTACTGGCTGAAACTCAGAATGTACTGTAGTTATGTATTAAAGTACATCCGGCCTTTTACAAAAACAGGCTGCTGCTCACAGAGACTTTGTGCAAGGCCTGCTAATTAAAGTCAGCTGGGGCTGAGTGTGACCTCACCCAAAGTGAAGGGTGTGTTTTTTTAGTTCTAGAATGTGGAGATCGGTGGCTCTGAAATGCCAGGGATGAAGGAAGGACTAGGATACTCAAAACCTCCCAGCAAAACAGCAAGTAGGAAAACAACCTGAAATTCCGTTATGGAAAGGACTGTGAAAAAAAAAAAAAGTTCAATTAGGCTGTGAAAAGAGACAGAAGACAGAAGGTCAGCGTGGCCCAGGGACAGCTGAGAAGCAGCCATGAGCCTATCTCTGGGCTCTCTGGCTCCTTCCATCTTCTAGGAAATGAATGCTTCAGACATTTAAAACAAGAGTTGTTTTACCCTTTTAACCGTCCCCAAACAACCCCACATTCACTTGCTGCTCCACAGGAAGGTAGGCTGAAGCTTTGGCTTTTTTTTACTGACTCTGTATGTGCTGCCCCAGCTTGGTACACTGCCTATGAGCCTGGGGATGACACCCTCAAGAGTTCTGCTGGGAGGTACTGGGTGGGGGCTCCCCTGGGCACAGCATGCTGAGTGATTCTGCTGTGAATCTGCTCACATGGGCACAGTATTTGGGTCACACCCTACCTATCTTGTCTTTCAATCTGCAGCCAGGTTCAGTTGCTCAGGTCTACGTTGCCAGTGGCATACAGCCAGGGAGGGTTGTACCATTCTGAACACTTCTGAGCACAACTGACCAGCAGCTATCACAGGCTCTGGCCGCATGAACTCACTTCATTATCAGCCTGGCCAGACACTTTCAGGGAAATCTGCCAAAAGAAAATCACATACTTGTGCTCTTCAGCCAAAGAGAAACACTGCCTATACCGTCATTTGTTTCTGCTAGACTGTTCCCCTTCCCTCCCGCCTGGCTCCTCAGCACTGATGATGACACAGCTGTTTTTCAGCAAGTTCCAACAGCCAATATCACTCTTGAGTTCCAGGCAGTGCAATGGCTTGACTCTCCCAACTGCCCTTTGTTGCACTCTGGTAGCATGAAGAGCAGAGCCCAGGACAGTCAGTAGGCAGCAAGACCCTGGGCTGGACCAGTGACTGGCCTAAACAGTCTCTACATTCAGCCCAGCTCATCATCATCATAAATAGGGCAGAAAATGCAAAGCCTCTGTGCTTGCTCCCAACACACCTCATCTAGGTCAATGCCTTTCCATTCAGTTTGCCTTCTGATGACATTTTGTTTAACACAGCGGTTCCCACAGGCATGGTCTATGAAGCATTGTTTGGGAGATGTTCTGGGGAGGATCAGATTTATTTAGGGGAAAGATGCACCCGCATCCCCTTTTGAGAGCACATGGCAGCACACTCAAGGTGCAGAGGCGCTATGTCTGATCCCAGCACCAGTCTGGTTTCATTTAACTCTAGAATCCTGCAATCTCTAAACTTGCTTAGGAATGAAATAGTGATCTTATTTTTGTGGCTTGGTTTACTTTTCTGCCAAAATCCCCACAGAACCAGCATTTCAAAGCCAATGTTTCAGTGACTGTTAATACGAGTTGTGCTTGGCAGCCAAGCTGGGTGGCTGGCAGGTTGGGCAGTGGAGGCCGACTGGGGAGCTCGGCCTGGGGAGAAGACAGGCCTGGGGTGAGAGCAGCAGACAGGCCCTTACCTCTTTGAGCTGCAAGCATCAGGACAGGTTGGGCACTTCTCACAAGTCTCCCCAAAGGCTCCAGGCTCTGTACACTGGCACTGCCCACAGATGCAGTGCCCACGGTCGCTGCAGATCTGCCCATCCTTGGCCCGGCATGTGCTGATATCTGTCGAGCAGTTACAGTTGTCTCCAATGTAACCTACATGGCACTTGCATTCTCCACAGTGACACTCACCATGGCCTAAAAGAACACACACAGAGTGTCAGGGCCTGCTGGTTTTTATGTGTAAACACATGCCACCCATGCCTGCCTTGTGTCAGAAGGAGGAATCCTACGGAGAATGAGGCACTGACTGTCCTCAGAGCTGGAGAGAGCCTGGTGCTGCTACGGAGTAATGTATAAGGCCTGGCAGGGTCTGAACTGGTGCTTCGATTGGTCCAGGCTGTGGTCAAGTCATGAGACAAAACCAGGAGAGCTTCCTGACTCGGCTGTTGTGTGAAAAATGGTCCCCAAATATGTTCACATCCCAATTCTAGAACTGTGAGTATCCCAAGGCAAAGCTGCAGGTGAGATTAAGGTAAGCAGTTTCTCCTGGATGGCCCAGGATGACAAGGTACTTGCAAGAGGGGCAGGGGTGTGGGGCTGACTACAGAAGGCAGCTAGGAGGCAAGAGGAGCAAGCTGCTCTGCTGCTGGCTTTGAAGATGGAGGATGGGGCCAAGGAACACAAAGAATGCAGCTCTAGAAGCAGGAAAAACAAGGAGCTCATTCTCCCCGGAGCTTCCAGAGGCATGTAAGGGAGTTCGCCAGTGCAGGCCCCCTGACTTCAGTCCAGGGAAAATGAACTCAGCCTTCTGACCTCCAGTGCTCTAAGAGGACAAATCCAGACTGCTTGACTGCACAAAACGTGCAGTGATTTGTTACAGGCTCAACCTTGGGGCCCTGCCCCAGAGGCAGGGCCCAGGAACCACACCTGGCTGGTACTTGGAGCAGTATCCTTGTGTCAGGCACTAATTGCAGTGCTGTCAGCTCCATTCCTTCTCACAGCAACCTTCAAGGTGCATATTATTCATTTTATGAGCGATGAAACGGACAGAGATGAAGAAGCTCTCAGAAGGCCAACCTAGCTGCAGCAGAGGCCAGGGGGACAGCCCAGAGTCCTTAGCCTCAACTCCTGTTTCTGCTGCCTCCCAAGGTAGGCCTGGCCATCATGAGAACCCGCAGAGGAACAGCCTTGGCTCTCTCTGCTGGACAAGCCCTGTGTCCAGCCTGTGAGGAGGAGGTATAATATAAATTATATTGGCAAACTGTGGTGTGCTGTTTGTCCTTCTTGAAAGCTGACTCAGAGCAAGAGCATGTTTATTTCATGTGAAACTCCTGTCCTGGGGCAGACTAGCCCCCTGGCCCTGTCAGGGAGGAAGAACAGCAAACAGCTTAGGGTATTAAAAACACTGTGCCCTTGAGAACAGCTAGAAGGTAAACCATTTCCAACAGAGGTTACCACTGTTTATCCCCTCTTATAAAAATGTCTGAGGTGGGAACAGGAAGCCAGATGCTTATCCATGAAGAGAACTCTCTGCTCTGCCTGGGACATGCTCAGTCTGTAGGAACAGCATGCTGTTCCAGCCGGGCTTCCCCAGTTTTTCCTATTGGATGTTGTAAGTACTCAGTTTGATGATGTTACTGTTGCTTGCTCTCCCAATCAGGTGACTCTGTCATCTCTGCTGGATGTTGTAAGTTCCCGACTTGAGACTTGATGATGTTCTCCTATCTACCTGCTGCTTCGTCTATCTGCCACTTGATGTTTTGTTTTGCTTTCTATGTGCATAATAAACTTATTCATTTGAAACCAAAAGTATGGTCATCGTAAATCATTCATTATATGGATCGGATGAAGAGGCATTGCCTCAAGGGTGACAAGGGCAGTAGTAGCATCACGGCTCAAAGGACTGTGTGGGAGTCACGTGTGAGCACCTGCTGGACAGAGTGTGAGCATCCTGAACATCAAAGGCATGAACACTGCTGTCTTCCCCAGTGGGGTTCTAGATTTTCCAGCACTATAAGTCTCTCTCTCTCTCTCTCTCTCTCTCTAATTCTTTAAAGATTGTGTGTGTGTGTGTGTGTGTGTGTGCGCGCACGCGCATGTGTGTGCGTGCGTGCGCGCGCCTACAGAGGCTGGAAGAGGACATTCTATCTCTTGGAGCTGGAGTTACAGGCAGCTGACAGCCACTGGACGTGGGTTCTGGGAACCAAACTCAGGTCCTCTGTAAGATCAGCAAGCACTCTTAAGCTTGGAGCCATCTCTCCAACCTCTAAATGTCTTATTTTTTAAAAGAGTTAATTATTTTTTATTTTATGTGTATGAATGTTTGCCTGCATGTATATATGCATACCACATGCATGCCTGATACCCGTGAAGGCTAGAAGAGGGCATCAGATCCCCTAGAGCCAGAAGTACAGGTGGTTGTGAGTTGCCTTATGTGGGTGCTGGGAACCAAACTTGGCTCCTCTACAAGAGCTGCAAGTGCTACTAACTGCTGAGCCACCTCTCCAGCCTGAAATGTCCCAATTTTAGAAACTGACTTCGATCTATTTTTACAGCATAGCCTCATTCTTGATGCCATGTTGCCAAGGCTGACATCACTAAGAAAGCCAGGAGCTTGCATGTACTGAGCACCACCCATAAGCAAGTGGGAGACTGGAGAGCACAGCCTGGGGTATCATCATGGTGGGGGTCACTGCATTTCACCTCCACATTAGAGTCAGTTATTTTAGTATTGAATCTGGCACACTCCAGACCACTAATGAATCTGACCTTCAATATAGATCAGGACCCAACCACCAAGACCCAATTTCCTGGCCCCACTTCCCCTGGCTCATATGCTCTGTAGTGCCCATGATCTGCAGGGGGCAAGGGAACCATCTGGCGCATCCCCACCTCCCAACTCTCCTGCACAGGTCAGCCTCTCCAAGTCCTGGGGCTCTAAGCCACAGAGCATTTCACAGGCAGCACTGAGGCATATTTCCAGGCCTCTGGGAAAGGAAGAATGTCAGGCAGGCCAAGAGGTGGCTGAGGAATGCATCTCACACTACACAGGAGCCTCCATGTGATATAGATGTCACAGGAGAGTATAGCACCTGGCTGCCAATGGCTGGTAATAGACTTGCAAATGGGATTGAGAACTGCCTGCCTTTTCTCCACCAGTGTGTGACCAGCACTACACGGGGGTCCAAGAAACAACAAACCTTCACAGGAAGTTTTCACAGATGAAGCAGATATGCACACCCCCTCATCCTCACCCCAGGGACAGTGTTGATCAAGAACCTGGCTTAACATGGTTGACTGTTGGAGACAACCCCCAACCACCACCCAACATTTAATTATGGGAAACCTGCAGAAAGGGTAAAAGGTCTGTATAGTCAGACCTACCCACACTCCCTACCATACTCTGCCAGCGGGTACCACATGTGGCTTCATCATGTGTATCTATCCTTCAATACCAAAAAGTGCATTACAAAGTCTACTTTAGGGACAAATTTCCTTTTTATTTTGTATTTTGAGACAGGCTTTCACTAAGTTGCCGAAACTGCCTTGAATTTTCTCTATAGTTCAAGTAGGCCTTAAACTCCTAATCCTTTTGCCTCACCCTCCCAAATAGCTGAGATTATAGGCCTGTAGCACTAGGTTCAGGCAAGGAGTGTGTGCAAATATTTAATATGGCTCTGGCACCGTCTGGCACATCATATCACCTGCAAAGCAAGAGTATAATGGGTAGGAGGCATGGATGGCACTGCATTACCAGCACGAAGGGCTGTTTTACTGAGATGGTATTGTTTCTTTTCTGACTCTGTTTTTGGCAGTAGTTTACAATGATTTAAGCATAATTTGGAAACAATATCCTAAGGTATCAAAGATTTAGAGGCATATACTAGTCTGTGGCAGAGTCTGGATTTGGGATTCAGTGTGTGTGCTGAAGGGACAGAAACCTTGCTTCTCTGGTGACCAATCATCTACATGCTACAGAACAGGCAGACCTGACAGAGGTGCCTGCAGCTCTGTACTCCCCATCATGATGGCCAAGAATCAAGGAAGTCCACTGTTGTGGGCATAGCTGATACCCCGAAGGCCCCAGAACTCCAAAAACCCAACCCAAGGCTACAGCAGCTGAGTGGGTCTCAGATCCAGAGCTCAAGATGAAAGCAGTTGATGCTTGTTTAATGTCATGCAGACATAAAAATAATTTCATCAGCAGCCAGCCTGTTTCCTGGATGCCAGGGCTGAGCCCTTGGCCTGGGGCCACCACTGCTCCCTGATCCCTTGCATCCAGATGGACCCAGTTCCTTCTCAAGGTCCCCAGGAGCCCTCTGGGCCTGGTCTCGAACTCACCTCCCTCTGCTTCCCTGGGCTGCACGGCAAAGCCCACCAGCCTGTTTCCTGGGCGCCAGGGCTGAGCTCTCCACCTGGGGTCACCACTGCTTCCTGATCCCTTGCATTGAGACAGACCCAGTTCCTTCTCGAGGGCTCCAGGAACCCTCTGAGCATGGTCCCACCCTCACCACCCTCTGCTTCCCTGGGCTGCACAACCTGCCAGCCTCTTTCCTGGACGTCAGAGCTGACCTTTTGGCTTCCTGATCCTTTGCATCGAGACCAACTCTGTTCCTCAGTGCAGTCCCCAGGAGCCCTTGGAGCCTCTTGCCACCCCCCATCTCCCTTTACACCTCTGAGTGTTATGGCCACCAGCTGCCTGAGACCACCATCTTTCCTGAGCCCTGCTCCCAGGCCAGTCCAACCCCCAAATTCCTGAGGCCAAAATCTTTCCTGGAGGGATCCAGACCTTAGGAGAAAGCCTGGGAGCATCTGATCCTCATCTGACTTGGGCCTCTGTGGGAACTCCTGAAGACAAAAGCAATCTGGCCACTCCAATAGAGAGAGCTGCAAGCTTAGATGAACCAGGTTTTCATGCCCAAAAAGTAAGCGATGAAGGCACATAAAGTTTACAAAAAGAAGCAGACCTAAACTTGAAGACTTGAGTCTCACACAAGAATCAGAAACTACAAAAGAAATTCACATGTCAAAAGCACAGAGAAAAAATAATAACATGGAAAACCAAAATAATATATCCCCACCAAGTACCAATAGTCCTCTAGAGGAGTACAATGAGAAACCCCTAGAGATAACACAGGACATGGAACTCAAAAGAACAATTATAAACATGATAAAAGAATTCAGTGAATTTAAAG